ATTTCTTAATTGCCAGGAGCGATGAGCCCCCACGTTCCTTCAAGCTCTTAATCGAAGCGTCAACCATTTGCTGAGTTGGGGGATGCGTTGGTGGCGCTGCGGGCTTCTTAGCCTTTGCAGTAGCCGCAGCGGATCCAGATGCCTTTTTGGCGGCCACCTTCTTCTCAGCTGGTACTGGTGGAGCAGCCACTGGAGACGCGGAAGTTGCAACTGCAGAATCAGACATATTTCTTCACAAAAATAATACACTTTTTAATGAATTCGTGGCTGGTTGGAATAAATGGCAGGTCACCCGTTCGAGTGAGAATCGAGGAGAAGGGCAGTACGACGATGATTTTAGCATTGGTGATTTGTGTTGCAAAAGTTTCATTGAACGTCCGACTTATTTTGGCTTTTCTGTATATAATTATTAAATAATTTAAATCAATTTTGATTGATTCATATTCTCAAATGTTTCAAATATTATTGTAAATAATTCGTTTTTTAAGTATCGTCCATCATCGATTTATAATACATGTGCAAACTTTCACAACTAGATATCCAACTCTTATGTTTTGGATTCAATGACATTAATAAATACCAATGTAAGCTTATTTAACAAAACTTATTTTTGAAACATAAAATTTGATTTATTTACTTTAAGGGTCATCGATCAGATATTCACTTATCGGTTAGAATGGTATTTTTAAATCGTTTTGAAGATAACCCTATAGAGTACAAAAAGACTACTTTCTGGGTATGTTCAGCACTGAATTTAGGGGTCAAAAAATATAAATGTTTAAAAATATGTTATTGTTAGACTTTTTTCTTAAGGAAATCAATATGATTTTCAATTTAATATTATTTATGATCCATTTTTGCAAATATTTAGCCACAAATAACAGCCTTTCATACCCACATAGCACTACCACCTACATTTATCTCAAAGCAAAAATCGAAAGAATCTATTTTTCGTAAATTTAATTGTCTACCCCAATTAGTGTGAATCTTAAGAACATTTCTTCATTACTTTTTTATAATATTTTCACATATTTATATTTTAAACGGCCTTTTAATACATGATAGTGGTACTAGTGGAAGCCTCAAAAACCTTTGTCAAACAGTTTCTGTCCCATAAACAAGAATATCAAAAATGTGGAATTTATTGGTCATTGTAAAAGCGCGTATAATACTAAAATTGAGTATAAAGGATTTCTACAGACAAACAATGGTTTCTATGCACACATTTTTTATAAACAATTATTCAAAATGCCCCTCGTAAGAATATCCACTCGAATAACAAGTCGACATGACATCGGAACATTTAATACGAATCATATACGGTAAGAATTTATTGGATGGATGATGTCCCCATTGAATTGCCGATTTGTTTATATTGCATAAGTAAAACAAGGCTTTCGCACAATATTGAGTAGCCAAACTGACTACGACGAAGCAAAGATATGTTATATATGTAAATACTTTATTTGAGAAAAATAATACGACTAGCATGCAGAAATAAAAAATCTCAATGGAAGTTATTTTGTGGTCCTGAAAAGGACCGATTTGAATACAATTGCTATGCGCTTGTCGAAGAAATATCAACTTAAGCACGCTCGCCACGAATACGTCTGGCCAGTTGAATGTCCTTGGGCATGATTGTGACACGCTTGGCATGGATGGCACACAAGTTGGTATCTTCGAAGAGACCGACCAGATAGGCTTCGCTAGCTTCCTGCAGTGCCATTACTGCCGAGCTCTGGAAACGCAAGTCGGTTTTGAAATCTTGAGCGATTTCACGAACCAACCGCTGGAAAGGCAGTTTGCGGATCAGCAGCTCGGTACTCTTCTGGTAACGACGGATTTCACGCAGGGCAACAGTGCCAGGGCGATAACGATGAGGTTTCTTCACGCCACCGGTTGCTGGAGCACTTTTACGTGCAGCCTTAGTAGCCAGTTGTTTGCGTGGCGCCTTGCCACCAGTGGATTTACGAGCAGTCTGCTTGGTACGGGCCATCTTCAATTTTCACTTCAACGTTTGAAATTCGAATTTACAATAAGCGATCGCAGGCACTGATGCTTGCTTATATAGCATTCTCCTGGCGGAGGGTTGAAACGAGAGCGAGAGCAGCCCGAAGCATGCTATTTCATTTCCCGAGCGAGATGAGCATATCATTCGGACTCACTCGTGTTTCGGTGGTGTTTTAGTATAAATAGGAGTGTACTTTTCGGCAGTACAACATTCGTTCCTGATATTTGTTTCGTGAAGCAAGGTAGTGAAAAAAAATGACTGGTCGTGGTAAAGGTGGCAAAGGCTTGGGAAAGGGAGGCGCTAAGCGTCATCGCAAGGTTCTGCGTGATAACATCCAGGGTATCACGAAGCCCGCTATCCGCCGTTTGGCTCGTCGTGGCGGTGTAAAACGTATCTCGGGACTCATCTATGAGGAGACTCGTGGAGTGCTGAAGGTGTTTTTGGAAAACGTTATCCGTGATGCCGTCACCTACACCGAACACGCCAAGAGGAAGACAGTCACAGCCATGGATGTTGTGTATGCTCTGAAGAGGCAAGGCCGCACGCTGTACGGTTTCGGCGGTTAAGAAAATTTGTTCAGTCTCCTGTTCGAAAGTAAACAATCGGTCCTTTTCAGGACCACAAAATAATCTAAAAGAGAAGACACATTTTCAAAACTTGTATTTTAATAATAAAAGTGTGCTCCCATCAAAGTACGCTGCATAAGCATAAGCATTAAGCGTGATGCTGTTGGAAAATTACATGGTCCCTAGTGCTATTTCCTCTCCTGCGGTAGAAAATTAGAATACCCAGAGAGATATCGCGGTAGGCAGAATGTTTAGTCAAAGTGCTGCAATATGTTGGAAAAGGGTACTTGCGTAGGTGGGCAAAAAAAAGGTTTGTTTGTCATATCCCCCACGACAGAAAATATTAGGCACAATATCACAATTTCCAATGCGTCGAGCACAACTGTACTTCTTTTATTCCCTGCAACTTCTTCGCTACCAACTAAAATGTGCGTTAGCCTGCATGGAGCATTTTATTTATACTTTAAAATTATGAAAATTCTCTTAAATCTTTTGTCATGTTTTGGTCGTCCTGAAAAGGACGTTTGGGTTTATATGTGTATGTACAAGAATGTATATTGTTGCTATTGGAGCACTTATGCTTTCTTCTCGGTCTTCTTGGGCAGCAGAACGGCCTGGATGTTGGGCAAAACACCACCCTGAGCAATGGTGACGCCTGAGAGCAGCTTGTTCAACTCCTCATCGTTGCGGATGGCCAGCTGCAGATGGCGAGGGATAATTCTCGTCTTCTTGTTGTCACGGGCAGCATTGCCAGCCAACTCAAGAACTTCAGCGGCCAAGTATTCCATCACGGCAGCCAGGTAAACAGGAGCGCCAGCACCGACACGCTCGGCATAGTTGCCCTTGCGAAGCAGACGATGAATACGA